AAAAGAAAAAAAAATTCTTAAGAAACCTACTTGCGCGATAACTGTAACAGAGTTGCGCAAACCTATTTATACCTTCGACATCTCAATTTTATACGCCTCACATTTGTGTACTTATAAAATTCATTTCATTTTTAGGAAAAGTGCTCACTTCTTCACTATTTCAGTATCACTAGCATTTCAAATTGTCAGTTGATACTGATTCGATCGAAGATAATGTAATTGTTCTTTCTAAGCGTAGAAACAGTTTTATTTTTCTGTAATACGTTTTCTGCATAATTCTATATGTAATGTGTGACTTAAAAAACTGAAACTTAAAAAATTTATGGATATTAATATGACATTATGTAATCAACTTTGTCAATTTTCTCAGAAATGATACAAAAAAGTGGAAATAGGACAGTTTGAAAAAGTATTTTAATTATATTACTTTTTCCTACGGGTCCGGTGGAGATATTTGACTATCATATCTTTAAAAAGATATGAAGGTCATCTTCACTTTTTTAAATGAATCATGTAATTTTTTCAAACAATGTGATTCCTCTTATTATTTTGCATATAGAAATACTAAAATACAGACGTCGAAAAATTAATAATTTATAAGATACTTTATATTTTATTCTGGCAATTTCTGTATGAAATATTCTCTTTTTAGCGTAAATTTTAATATAAATTTTCTAATTTATTATGAGTTGTTCGAATGCACCGAAACACGATTGAACAAATTTCTCAGAACTATGAATATTTACTTGATTGATTTGTCGATAGCAATTTGAAGGTCATCATTTGTCGGTCTTTCTCATGAGTTTCGTGTATTTACAAAAATTTCACGCAAGTGCATTTCTTTGTTTTTAGTGTCGAAATTTTATTCTTAAGCGGCTACACTTACTGACAGAAATATTCTTCAACTTTAACTTTTTGGATACTGGAACTTCTTAGTAAAATTATAATTTAAAAATAATTAAAATTAGTTAAATACGTAATAATCAATAGTTATATAACTGAATTCATAAATACTCAACTTGAATTTGACATTAGCACGATAAACAATTTTAATAAATATTATTTTATCTTTCTTATAGATAAATTTCTAATATGTGTCACTCATGTACCAATTAATTGCACAGCGTAATATTCATATTCTTTTTATGTTTTTGTTTTACTATATTTTTATCAGAAACTCTAATTTAAAATATTTGTATATAAAAGTTAATATGAAATAAAATATATATAATATTTAATGTTTAACGTGCATAAAAAATCGTATTTGAAACAAAAGTAAAATAAATACATATGCATTTTTTATTTTATTTAAAGTATTGCAAAAAATGCACAATTTTAATGCACTACAAGAATTTGATATACTAGTACCTTAATTTTTATAATTTTATTTTTCTATGTCTTCTTTAATAATTTTTCATAAATGTGACGCTGTACAAGATTTTCCAAAAATTATTTTATTATTTTTTAAGTTGAGTACTATTGCATTATTTATATTTTCACCGTACTGTTATTGAATCACTTCGTTATCGCGTAGAATATGATAGGTACATGACAGTAAGTACATAAAATAAGATACTTAATCTGCTGCAATTAAAGTTTTTCTCTTTTTAATAAGATACTTTTTGAAATATTTTATCGTTTAGATCAATATAGGATACATTTGTTTTTTAAATTATAATCTGCACGATTAATATTTTTAATAAGAATTAATCCTTACAATACAAGGTACAATTTGGTGCCTTATCCATCCAAACATGAATCACCAGAATCCGTCTGTCTTTTTCACTTATTCAGAAAGTTCGGAAAATCAAAAAATTTATCAACAATTTTAAAAACGGAGTTACTTTTGGCTACATGTATTATTGCCTACAGTTCGATTGCCTACATATATTATTGCTTATAGCTCGATTGCTTACAAGCACTTTTGCTCACAATTATAAAATTAAAGTCAAGTAAGAAAATAATTTGTGTTGATGAATATTAACAACAACGGAAGCAACTCTGTTAAGAATGTATGTTCATAATGACACTCTCAAATACTAAAACATGTACAACAGTATAATTATGGAAGTTGCGCGCCCCTATGTAGGGGAAGAGATGGGGCGAGAGTCGTTTTAAGTAGAAACAGTATTTACAATTTTAATTTTATTAGGTGTTGGAATTAATTCGTAGCGTTTTACAAGTGATGGGAAGTACTTTCATTAATGTATTTTTTAATGCTCATGTGAAATAAATAACATTCTTTCATTAAAAACGCTACGAATTAATTCCAACACCTAATAATATTTAACGAAATGTATTTTATTGTAAATAGAATGTACAATAATAATATAAAAAGGAAATGTTGTTAAATAAATCTGATTTTTAGAGACATAAATATTTTAAAAAACTGTAAAAAATACTGTAAAAAATGTAAATACTGTATAAGCTGTAAAAAATAATATGTCACATCGTATTATATTAAAATTAGTTTTTTTTTTATAGTGTTTTTCTTATTCAATGATAAAATTTTCTTAAGAATTACCACTTTGTCTAAATATACAATAAATTAATGTAGGTACGAAATCAAAAGAAAAATTGACATGATTTCAAATTAAATTTTTTTATATTTTTATTATGATATATGTTATTATAATGTTATATCTTCGATTATACTAACATTTTAAGTCGCCATAAATGAAAAGATTACAGTAATATGAAAAATCTATTGTCCTTTCTGATACATTTTGCATTATTTAAATCTCTACAAATTGGAATTTAATATTTTGTTTATTATGCGAATTATTGAATTATTGAAGTTAAAAATATTAACGTGCTTGAAATACAATGAAATACTTTTTTATATAAATTTTTTTATATAAATTTTTTATATTAATTTTAAGCTAAATTGCTTAATTTAATTTAAATGCATTGCAGAACGAAATATCATTGTCGGATACAAAAAAACACGTAATTTATACTTTTCTGGAAGAGAGGTGGTTAAGCGGTCGATTTATTGATTATAGCAGTAATGCAACAGATGTTTATTTTCCATAAAAAAATATATATTTCATTAGAGGGAATCGTGCGATAATTGACTTCGCAGATGCGACCCCTTTTAACATATATGTATATATTTCAATGTTGTGACTTATTAATATAATGTCAATCTTTAATTTTATATTTCTTTATAAATATTTTATATGTCAATTTTTTTATTTAAATAATAATTTTTACTTCTTGTCAAAACGATACAGGCAACTACATCGAGGGCTAGACGATTTCGATCGAATTAGTTTACGTTTCTCTTTCTTTTCCTCTCTTACTTTCTTATATCTTTTTCACTTTTATACATACTTATTTTAATTTACAATTATTATTTTACAATTATTATTTCGTACTTGTAGAATAGAGATCAGTGAAGTGAGATATTGAAGTACTCATTAATTGTAATGAAACATCTTTTATTTCATTCTGTAAGGAATTATATTGGAGCTGTGTGAAGAATGTCTATTAAAATAATGGAAAGACAATATATTTATTTAAATTATTGATTTATTCGGGTTAATCATTATTATATTTTCAAATAAAGAAAGTTAATTTGTTATATAATATTCTTGCAATACACAAAATGAATATATAGTTCCAATTTAACAGTTTTTGTTTTTTGTTTTTTTATTCTATTTTTTTTCAGTGTATTTACATTTCATTGTTAATTTATTTTAATAGAGCTACTTTAGTTGATTATTTAAATAATTCTAAAGTAGTGAAAATGTTGAATGACTGTGAATGTTATTATGTAATGCATTATTTTTTATTAATCCTATATAACTAGCTGCTAATGCGTGTGGCACGATAAACTAAAAATATTTTTCTTGATCAATATTATATCATAATGTATATTGATTGATTTAGTCGAGAATTGTTATTAAGCAGATGTTAAAGCATTGAATATACGGTCAATTTTGTAGAAAAATAAAAGTACTTTCACCGCACATGCCAAACATTCTCTCTCAAGAGAAATTTTATAAAGTTATTCGTATACATAAATCAAACTTTATTAGATTTTAATTAAAAAATTTTTTTTCTATTGAGAAAAGATAGAATCTTGTTTCGTTTTGAAAAAAATATATAATAAAAAAATACTATTTGCACATTTGATTACATTTTATCTAATTTTGAAACATATAAAAGACTCAACTACCATTGTCTTACGTATTATTGCAGTAATATAACATTCTTCCTTGCTTCCAAATTTTTCTATAATAGCAATTTCATTTAATTCGTTACATACATCTTGAAGTTGTTCCAGAAAACTCTTTACCTGTCGTATCAGACATTATACTTTTTATTAAAATTTGAAAATGATTATAACGAAAACGATGTAACGTAATTTAAGAAATTTTCTTGGAAGAACGTTCTTAAATAAACTATAAGAACACTAGAATAAATTAATTTCACACTAAAAGTAATTTAATGGATGATCTTTTCTCATAGGGAAGTGTTCATACGAGGACTCCTTTCGTGCAAAAGTCGCAATCGCTTTTCATAACACTACATTTCCACTTATTTCAGTCTGGTATGTACATTCTGGTATGTATGATTTGCCTAAGCAACGCTAAACATTGACAAATCAGATTCATGTTAGTAAATTACGCAATGTTAATATTTAAGTCAAATTTTAATGTTTGTTTTTTTTAAATCTTCTAACTTTACAGCACTTGTGCTGTAAAGAGAATGTATTTAAATTTAATTTAAATGCAATAACAATACGTTATAAATTTTTGAATATTTTTGAGATTTAATGTATCAACATGCACAATTACAATAAGTGAAATAATAAGAACTATAGAAAATAATTTTAAACAATTTTATTTATTATCTGCATTTTTTTCCATTAATTTAATAGTATTTAATTTAATAGTCCACGTTCTATTCCATTTAATATCCATATAATACATTGCAACATTATCATTAAAATGTATATTTATAATCTGTTTAAAGATTATACAGTTATAAATGGCACGTTATTGATTTGTATAATAAATAAATGTGAAGTAAGAGAATGACGCGCTGACTAGCTGCAATGAAAAATATTTTCTTCAAATGTTTGAAATATTATCGAATAAATTTTGATTTAATTTTTACCGTGGCGAAGCCTTCTAAGGAACCCACAAATAATCCACCAATCATTATCTTAAAAGTTTTAGTGCCTCTTTGTAATAAGAACAATATTAGCTTTTGCACATGTAAGGGAACTACATACCAGTAACCATTGTATCTATGAAATGACGATTAAATACAATCAATATCAATAATATTATACAATAATAATAAAATAATTCATAGATATTTTTAATTATTTCGTAACATATGTATGGTATATAAAGTATCATTGTTTTATGAAATATTTCATCTTTTTCTACAAATTTTGTATTATATTTCGTATCTATTAACTCTAACTTGTATTGCAAAAATTTTAACTTTTACGTATCACATAAGAATATTTCTTACACTGTAACGAATATGCTATTATTATGATCTATAATTTGTTGCGCAATATTGGTGGAAAGAAATGTGTATACATAATGAATATTCAAAATTATGAAGCACTGTATCACTTTTTCGCTAATATATCCAGATGATATTTCTCGAAAAATCTGAAATGCGAGCTATTTGTTTAAAAGTATACTTAAAAAAAATAAAAATTCAAACTTACTCGATAAAGATTAAGGCTCGCAAAAATTATTCCGTTCAATATCATAACAAAAAATGTTGTATTAAATGATGATTCAAGACATTAAATATTAATGTTTAAATTATAATAATTATAAATTTTTAAACTAAAGTTTTTGAAGAAAAGTTTATATATCAAATTGAGTATAATTTATTTGAAATTAATTTACAGATTTAATAATACTATACTTCAAAGCTTTGCGATGTATGTCTATGGCATAAATTATGCCCTTACAAATTAAATTTGCATTTTTTATGCCATTCATTCGTCTAATACCAATTGTCATGGCTTGTTCTATACGATAGCTGTAATAAATTTATATATATATAATTGTATAATATTGTATAATTGTATAATAATTTGTGTTTGCACAATATGTGAACATATAATATTCACTGTAGTTTTCGAATTAAAAAAGCAAGTCTAAGTCAATGTTGTGCAGTGTATTCACGTATTGTGCATGTTTGCACAATATATAATTAACACGTATAATAATTTTGAAATAAATCCAATGTAGTTTCATACTGACTGAATGCGACAAAGCAAATATTTTACAATATTATTTACAATATAAAAAATTTCATATTATGAAAAATTAGGAAAATTCCCGATAAAATGAATTAGTTTTTACATGTAATATATCTAGGGGAGACCGGGGCTAATAGACTCATTTTTCAGTTTCAAATTTTTACGGACAAAATTAATAGACTTTCCAAAAAAATAAATTCTACATCAGTTACTACATAAATTTGACTATCTAATAATATTTTAATAATAAGGGGAAACTGATAACTAATATGAAAAAAAATGCGTTTTTCTAATGCATTCCATCTGATTCAACTAGCCCCGGGACCGGGGTGATTCGATTAAGATTATTAAAGTAAAGAATAATGTATTTTAAGCTACATCTTTGGCTATATATTAATAAATCTTTTATAAAAATATATTTTAAACACAAACATTCTCTTCGCAGGGCAAACAATACATCTTTTTGCAAAATTCATTCATTTCGTGCAAAAACATGTCGAATAAGCCTAGTTTTCGAGATTGGACATAAGGGAACTAAACTTATAACATTTACCACTGAGGAAAATCTCTTTAAAGGAATAAAATTTTGAGTAAGTATTATAAGAGTCGTCACTAAATGAATCATACAGTACCATGCTGTGGTCTACTTTCTCCACCCGTTTTTTAAAAACATTAACAATATACGATAACAGAGACACATAAACAAAAAAAAATTTGTTGGACTTTATTACTAAGAATTATTAGGTGTTGGAATTAATTCGTAGCGTTTTACAAGTGATGGGAAGTACTTTCATTAATGTATTTTTTAATGCTCATGTGAAATAAATAACATTCTTTCATTAAAAACGCTACGAATTAATTCCAACACCTAATACATTTACTATCTAAGTAGAAATCAAATATCTCAGACAATCATATACGATAGTAAAACAAAAACTTTAAGAATAAAAATATTTACTTAGGTGTACGATTTTTTAAAAGTGTGACATAATTTCTATCATAGATGTGTACGAAACAAGATGTTACAGTAGACTTAGCAGCAGTCGCTGCTGCGTGCTCAGACATTTACGCATGTCTCGCGTATTTTGTTTTTAATGTAGCCTCGATTCTACTTACTCTTATATTCAACTGACCCCGGTCTCCCTTATAACGTGATACGTAAAAGATGTTATAAACTTAAAATTCAATATTAGATATTTTTTGATGTGTCAAGAGTACTCGGTATAAATTTTGCATGTTTTGTGTATCGAGCTCAAAAATTATGTATTTTCTATTCGTATTTATGATATATCTTATCCATCACATTATAAACTATATCATATGTGATAATTACCTCATTTCATCAAGACCTCATGTACAATAATTAGTGCGAGATCCTTTTGATAGAATCATTATCACATTAATTTTCTTACCTGGCAATTTTTAACATTCCGCAGACATGTTGCATATACGTTAAAAACATTGTTCCCGTCGCTAGCATTGCAAGTGATCCTATAAAGAATGCTACATCTGCATGCAGTATAATTAAATAAAAATATCTTTCTTGATCGATGAAGTATTCTGTGACGATTTTTAATGATGGCTGCAGCTGGGATTCGTTTACAGAGAACATAGTACCGATTATATGTGGCAAAAATGGAGAAAAGATGAACAAAATATCGATGAAGATATAGAGCACTAAAGAATGATTTGAAAATAATCGTAAAAAATTATTAATTAATATTTTTAAACACTATTATTAATTTATTTTAATTAATTAATTTTATTTTAATCTCTTCCAATATATACGTTTACGGTATCACTTCATGTATATATGGCTATTTCAAGTTTTGTGCATATAAACGCACTTCTTAAAATATACTAAAATATACTAATATAGATAAAAGTTTATAAAGAGGTATTTTGAGAAAGGTATTTTGATTTCGAGAATATTATTTGATCGATATGACATTTTTTATAAAACTGTTTTTTATTTACGTTCTCCTTATATATGTTAAAGATGGTTAAGACACGAGAAGACATTGCATAGATTTCAGATGGTAACGAAGTAATATGTACATGTGATATGATTTAATGTAATATCACCATATGTACATGTCCATTGCATTATTATCGATTAGTTAATTATTTTTTAAAAATCAGCTTTTAATCAGCCGTATAATTACGAAATTTGAAACACAATACTGTGTACAATCGCAAATAGATTAGTCAAGTTAGAAATATTACTTGAATTTTTAAATAAAACCTGCATATTTCCTGATTAATGAAAAACTGAGAAATTGTCTTACGCGTAAGTATTTCAGTGTAACGTTTTGCGATGTTCCAATACTTTTCCATAATGGCAATTTCATCTTCGTCTCTTAGCTCATCGTAGGTATCTTGGAGAAGTTCTAATAAATGTTTTACCTGTCAATGATTTTCTATGCTACTTGTTATGCGGAAGTTGATATAGACGAATGTAGTATATTCTCTAAATATCTTGGAATAAAATCTCAAAGAGAATTAAATTACTGCCACTAAGAGAAAAAGAAAAAAAATTTGCACTCTAAGAGTGGCAGATTTTCAATTTTTTTTAGTAAAATTTCTAAAGGAAAGAAATCTTATTTCATAAAAAGGTGAAAATCAGCAGCCACTCTCATTAAAAAAAAGTGCAAATTTTTCATTCTTTCTTAATAGTGGCAATATTTTAACTATTTTAGAGTGAGATTTTATTTCAAGAAATTTAAAGAGTTCAACATGCATTTAAATAAGAAATATTTCTTGTCGCTTACAACATCCATGTTAAAGTTGAATGAGAGATATGGTATCAAGAAGAGATTAAAAAAGAATGTGACAGATAGAATTTCAATGGTTAATTGCAAATCATATTTTGAGGTCACAAATGTTGTAAACTACGGAAAATGATTTTGTTGCATTATTTGTACAAAAAAATAAATGTTTTGTCAGTAAATAGAAAGATTTTAATTATTAATTGTTTTTCTTACGTACAATAATACATTGAACATAAAGTACAAAATCTAATTATACGTACGTATAATTATGACGTATAATTATACGTCATAACAAAAAATTATATAACAAAAATATATTACTTTATATATTGTATAATTATAAATAAATTTAAATATGCCAAATTGCTATTAATAAATGTGACAACTTATTAATTATTAATGAAATATTATTATTAATAAATAAGAACGTTTCTTATAAAAGATCTACTAAATATGCATTCATTTACCTGAAATACAATAAAACTTCCCAGAATTCCGTAATGCAAAGTCAATTGTAGTCGAATGAGTTTGGATTGTTCATAAGGCCACAAACCAATAGCGAGCATGAGAATTCGATTGAGACTAAAGTATCGATCCTTCGCGCACGTCATCTCTTCGAGCGTAGGAACACATATGATTGTGAAAAAGTCGGGAACATTCCGTCCATCCCCTCTTTCGACCGATTGATTGAATGTTCCTTCTTTTAACATAAATTTTACTGTTAAACTTAACATTATTTTTACATTAAAGATCATTATAAAGAAATTCAAACATTTTTAATTTTACAATATTTATCTTAAAGAAGTCTACGATTAAGCGATCGATGCGATACATAAGGAAAAATTCAGGTGTCTTTTTCTCACAAAAATGCAAAAAAAAGGATATTCGTGAAAAAATATCCACATAAATGCCACGCTGGCGCATTCTGTTGTTTTTATTGCCGTAGCTTACTTACATACATGTATATAAATAAACATATATATATATATAAATCAAACATATATATATAAATATATATATATATATATATATATGTTTGATTTTTGAAAGAAATAGCCATCAATTTTAAATATATTGACATATTTTCTATTAAGTTCATATGGCTGTAAATCATCAGCAGATATGTCACAATAGAAATGATTTTACTTTCGTAAATCTTCATATATATCATTTATTGTATGTCACTTGATCTATGATCAGAAAGTTTAAAAAATAATAGATGCTAATATACATAAATTAAATTATTTGAATATTATGACTGAAAGATTTTACATTAAAGTTATAATGTAATAATATTTAAATTTATATTTTACATATTTAAATAATGCATATATTATTTAATACATATATTGTTTCCTTTGGAAACCTTTTGCAAAATTTTAACAAACCAATATTCTAAATTAAGTTATTTTTATTTATTATGTTTTACTTGACAACGAAACTTCTATTTAAACTACATGCAACAAAGTAAAGAAGATTTAATTTTTTAGTTTTTAAATAATAAATAATGTAATAAGTAATGTACATTATGGTCAGAAAATTTAGGATCAATGTGATATAATCTTAAAACACATAATTTATGCTAAAATTATAAAATACACATTAAATAGTAATTGTTTTTTTATGTAATTATTATATCTTTAGGGTCATATAATGTGAAAATAAAATTGAACTTGCGTACATTTTAAATAAAAAGAACAAAATTAAGTCTTTAAAACGCTTGGTCTTAAATTTTTTGACGGTAGTGTATATTACTACACTTTTTAATTGTATATATATATATATATATATATATATATATATATATATAAAATATGTCAATTTTATATATATTTATATATATATATATATAAAACATTTTTCTGTACGTATATGTGCTTCAGGATAAACTAAACTGAGTTTTCTCGAACAGTTTTTGATCATTTTTTAATTTTCTCA